AAGGTTTAAATAGATATAATACATTGTGAATATGTCAAGTTATGCTACTTGTAATACCCTCTAAGTGTATTCTATGCAATGACTATACCTATGTTAGCATACAGCAAGTATTAAATTTAATATAAATTAAAATACCAAATGAATAAAAAATTAACATATGTATTATTTTAATATATTTTAAAGCACTTTTTTGTCACATTGATCTTGATTTTTTGTTACATGCATAAACTAAAATAATACTGGTTTCTTTTATAAATTTAAAATTTAGACAAGTTAATGGAGTAAAATTTTCAAATATTTAAGTTGGTAGGAATATGTCACCAGGTTACTTACCAGGAAGAATCATAATAGTGATTCAAGACTAACATGGATTTTCAAGAGCTTTGAATTGTATCCATGTAATAGTAAAATGCTGGCCAAGGGGAATAAAAGCATGAAGTTTATGATGTAAGGTGAAGGAGAAACTGTCAGGATGATGAATCATTATCATATTACATGAGAAAGATGTGGATAAATCAACACAGAAGGAGATAAAATGAGACCTCATCAAATGCATTTAATGTTTCTGTTCTATGAATTAGGCACTTACGATGACTACATTCAGCAGGTCTGAAGAAGTCAATAACACTGATTTACAGAAAGGAGCAAGTAAAGAATTTTCTGTGAGAAACAAAGCCTTACATTATATCAGCAGAGTGAAAATATAACTTAGCTGCACACTTATATTTAAATGGTCTAACAATAACTTAAGAGAAATGAGCTTTGTAGTGGCTCATAAGTCTCTGGTTCTCTGAGTGTTCTAAATGTGTTTATCCAATACGGTAGGCACATGTGGCTATTGAGCACTTGAGATGTGGTTTGTCTAAAGTCACTTGTACTGTAAATAAAAATATGCTCTGAAGTTTGGAGATATGTTGTGAAAAGAATAAAAAATACCTCCTATATTGATTATACCTCAACAATATTTGAGATATAGTGAGTTATGGATACTAGAAAATTTAAAATTACTTATCTGGCCTATATTACGTACTCATTAGAAAGTGTATTTACAGTGGATGCTAGATTTGTAACTTGTTTATTACATTCCAGTTATTTCACAGATCAAACGTTAGTTTAGGCTTCACTATATCATCATCATCATCATCTATATTTTGGTTATATTCTCTGAATAATGATGTCTATAAATTTTCTTTCTTAGGAATATTTTCATAGATTAAAAATCACAGGAAGAGATCTCAATGAAAGGTAATTTATCCTTGTATTTACCAAAGTATTGGTATTCCAAAGTATACTTTTGTCATTCGCTTTAAATCATTCCTGCATCAATTCTTTCTGGAGCTGTGAATAGTTAGAGACATTAACTTTCTTATAGTTTGCTTCTTCTCTTTCTTACCTTCTAAGGATGAATCATCAATGTGATGGTCAAAAATGTTTGGTTGAAGGGAAGTTCATCCCCATAGTCCTGAACCAGATTTGCAAGTGTGAATCATGAGGCCAGGATACTTGTGTAGTGTAAATAAACTAAAACAGTCATTTGGAGGGCCAGGGATTTAGCTCAGTGGTTCTGCCACCTTGCCTCACAAGTGCAAGGTCTCTAATTTGATCCCTGGTACCAAAGGGAAAAAAAATACTTTGGTAAAAACAGTCATTTGGAAATAGAGGTAACTTCTTGACATCAAAAAGGAGGATAAAGGTCCATTGTCTCCCCTCATAAAAATATTCATCCACTTACTTTTCTTTCTGAAAATACACTTTCGTTGTTTATATTTTTGTTATGCCCTGTTACATTGCTTTCTGGATAGTTTGTACTTTCCCTTTGATTTCCTATTCAATTCAAGAGTTAGTGAGAAATGAGCCTTTAATTTTCCAGTCTGCATGATTTATTTGGTCTCTAGCATATAAATAGACTTTGCTTTTAAAACCTAATCAGATATTTTTGTTGTATAATAAGAAAATTTAACAGCACTTAGTGAAATTATTGATATTCTTTACTTACTCATTTTATATCTTTTTTGTACATATTCTTTCCCAATTGATTTCTTATTAATTCTAGAGAACTACAATAATTTAGCATTTTTGCTTTCACAATTAATTCCATATTCCATTGTTCCTTTTACTACTATTTGAAAAATAAAACATCAAATATTTTCCTCCAAAATGTATTGTTTCTATTTTTGGTGTACATTTTAAACAATTTTTTTTATGGACATTTAAAGAAGTGTAGTCCATGTCATCCTGTGTTAAATTATTTTTTCCAACTCTGAGAGAGCTTTTATAAATTTGTTTGGTCAAAAGAGGGGTAAGAAATTTAGCTGCTGTAATATATCCATGACTCTTTTTGTCTTTTAAATCTTCATGTTTCTTTTACAACAGGTACTTTTCTTCTATGTGATATGCAAATCTCTCAGTTCCTAAGAGCAACTGCATAGGGATATGTGTTTCATTTTAAAACAAAGACTAAAGAAGAAATAATAATATGATAAAGTTATTCAAAGGATTTCAGAAACAGGTGTTCTAAGTCTACACTAATTGGATTTCAGTTAATTATTTCTTTTACTTTAGGGAATATAAGAAATGTTAAAAAAAAAAAACTGAAAAACTTCACTGACATGCTAATTACTCTAATATTATTTAACCTAGGGGAAAAAAAGCCACCTTAATGTGACCGAAGTCTTAATTACCTTTTTCATTTCTAGATTTTAAGATACAAATTATAAGCTTTCCTACCCATACACTACACATTTCAGTGTTATGGCATACACTGATTTTTCATCTATATGTAATTTTAATTTTCCATTGGTAATTCAGAGAAAAAAATTCTAATTTAATGATTAGATTTTTCACCAACCTCAGGGGATGCCAAAGTAAATCTCTCTTAGGCTTTAGGTCAAAAAGTCTGTGGCTATTTGACTTTAGATAAATTGTTCACTCTCTTTTAATCTCACTTTCCTTTATACAAACAGAAGAGTAATCTTTATATGTTACTGTGGCTATTAGCATTCATTAGAAGTGTAATAATAAGGATATAGAAGGAATGAGAGTTGTGTATGAAATCAGGTAAGTTTAGAATGTAAACCAAGGAGGGATTAGATTTTTATTGTTGTTCATTGCTCCTTTTTTGGGGGAGTATAGAACCATGCCTAGTATATAGTTATTTTAGAAGAAATATTCTCTGAATAATGAATGAATGAATGAATAAAACATATGAAAGGAAGTCAGCAATGAATAACCCGAATTGAGACACTAGGTTATCTGAAAGTAGATATTTGGTAGAATAGATATCAGTAATAGGGGAAATGAATGAATCTTCTAGGCATGTAGAGTTCTTTATAGGCTTTTATTTCTAAAATAAAAGTAGAACTATGGCTTCATAGTACAGAAAGCAACCTTTAACTTGATTGGTGAAGGTGGGCAGTTCAATGATTATCTATAATTTTGTTCATATTAAAATAAGTGCTTAATAAATGTCTGCTGAATGAATAAATATATATTTATGATACAATTTATATTGCTTGATAAAAGTGTAATCCATATAATAGGCATCATTTTCATCTGATGAGTACTGTGCCTATTCTGTAGTCATTTCTCATTTACCTAGCATTTTTATTATTCCATTCATTTTTATATTTTAATTATCTTTGCATTTATTTTAGTGGCTGATTAACTCTGTGCTTATTTCTAAGAGCGACATTCCTTCTGATTTTATTTTTTTTATTCATTAAATTTATACATTTTAGGTATACATTATGATGACATTAATCATTGGAAATTTGTACCTTTACATGATATATCTTGGTTCTTATTTTTTCCCCATTCCTCTGCCCTGCCTTCAACCTCTCCACCCCTCCCTATTTACAAAGACTTTGTTTCCATTTTTTCCTTTTCTCATATTTATTTATTTTCCTCCTTCTCCCCCTTCCCATTTCCCCCTCCCCTTTGGACATTTTATTCCTATTTCACAGTCTCTATTCTACATTTTGATCCTCATTTACACTTTCTCACACCAGAGAAACTATTTGGTATTTACATATGTGTCCTATTTATTTCACTTAACAGTATGGCCTCAATGTGCATCCATTTAGTTATAAATGTCTCTAGTTTCTCATTCTTTATGGTTGGGTAGTACTCCATTTTATTAAAAAAAAAAACAAAACATTTTCTTTATCCAGTCACCAGTTGATGGGGAATTGGGTTGTTTCCAAGTTTTAGCTATTACAAACTGTGCCACTATAAACATGGGTGCGCATATATTGCTGTGGTATAATTCTTTTAATTCTTTTGGGAAGATAACCAGCAGAGGAATAGAAAGACCCAATCCAAAAATGGGCTCTGGAATGAACAGACATTTCTTAGACAAAGAAGCAGAAACAGCAAATAAACATGAAAAATATGTTCAACATCACTTGTCATTTGAGAGATGCAAATGAAAACGAAGCTGAGATTCCACCTCACTCCAGAAAGAATGGCTGTTATTAAGAAATCGACCAATAACAAATGCTGGTGTGGTTGTGGGGAAAAAGGAACCCTTCTCCACTGTTGGTGGGAGTGTAAACTGGTGCAACCACTGTGGAAATCAGTATGGAGATACCTCTAGGATTAGAGGTCCCATTTGACGAAGTGACATTCCTTTTTAAAAGTCTTGAACTCGGGGCTTTCACTGTAACCATTCTAGTAAGATATTAGGAGCAAAATAACCATCATGAGCAAACATCATCATTATTATTATTATTGTAAAAAAAGTATGAAAAATGTTTCTTCCTTTATCTTTTCAACAAAATTATTAACTCATTAATTAGTATGTACTTATGGTGAAAATAATTCAAATGTTTCAGATGAATCTGAAAAAAAAGTAACAGACATTTTTCCTAGGTCTCTACTCCTACTTTCAAAGCTAATCATTTTTAGTTTTCATTCTTAAGTTATATTTTGTGATTGACATATATTGTAAAAATTGTAAGCTAGTTGTGATGACATATGCTTGTATCCCCATACGCAGGAGCCTGAGGCAGAATCATCACAATTAAGGCCAGCCTGGGGTACAAAGGAAGTTCAAGAGGACCCTGTGCTACATAATAAGACCCTATCTCAAAAATGCCCAAAGAATTATTCACTGAATTCTTGATATTTCATTTTTGTGAGTATTTTGAATACTAATAGACATTTGAAGAATTTAGCATATTAATTCTTTTCTCCCTTTCTGCTTTTAATAGCTGAATTATTATGGTTATCATTTTCACATTCCCAAACTTTGGTGTATAATAGCTATAATAAAAATTTTCAACTTTTCAGTCAAATCTAAATATTATTACTAATATAAATTACACTTTGGCTTATGGTTTTAGTACATTTTTAAGTTATTCTAAATTTTCTTCACTACTTTTTGGTTATAATTAACTGAAACTTTGACATGTATCTCTTGTCACCAGGATACCAAGCCTTTCCTTTTTGTTTTGCTAAAGACCATCATTTAGTAATGTTTCATTAGAAGTTGCAAAAGAAACATTTTCCTGTTCTGCTGGTTCAAAAATGTTTTATTCATTTCTGACAGTTGATTGATAGAATGCCATGGGCTTAGAAATATAGGATCAAAATAATTTTTTTTGACAGGACTTTGATGGCATTAATTGTCTTAATGAAAATTGTGGTTTTGAAGAATTTTATATTTTGAATCTCATAGTTTATTAACTTTTTTTTCTCTTTGAAAAATTTTAGGTATGTTTTCTTTACCTTTGCAATAATGAAATTAAATCAGGATCTACTTAACTGTGTACTTTATTCTCATACTAAACCTGACACATATTAAGTACTGTAACTCTGAAGTCTTATTTCTTTCTTAGCTTAGTGAATTTTTTTTTATTGATATTTTTCTTCCCATCCTGGGCCTTTATTTAGAGTTTCTACCCTTTTGCCCTAGTGTATTTCACTTTTTTTGCCCTCTGTCTTTTAGACCTCCTATTTGTTTGCTGATGTAATTGATTACTTTATTCCATCCATCCACTAAATTTTTGAAACTTTCTGTTTCTATAATTGGTTATTTGTGTTGGTAGTCTGTTTTAGTATAAAAACTGTAAGTATCCCCATCCTTCACTTTCATTTGTTGAATTATTTTTTTTCAAGGTGACTGAGACTACATGTTGGTCTTGATAATACATTTTCATGCTATTAAATTTCCTCTGGAATCAAATTCCAGGTCAGATTGTATCTTTGTTATTGATTGGCTGAGAAATCAAAGGTAGTTTACATAACCATTTTAAATCCCAATTTCTTTATTTAAAACAAAGTATAATAAGAGTGTTACAGTGATCATTTAGCATAGAATCAGGATAGAGTCCATTCCAAACTTTCTAAAATGTCCTATTATTTCTTGACTAACATAGTCATTTTACCTTATTCTCCTAGTGATAATGTATTGATGGGACTGGTGTAATTTCACTGTGAACTTGAACAATTGATGCAACCGATTGCTACTGAATATTCACGGCTCAGCAAACTTTTTCGTCAATGCTGGTAAATATTTTCAGCTTTTGAGCTATATAATCTCTGAAGTCACTACTCATCTTTGCTTTTAAAATATAAAAAACAAAAGCCATAAGAAATGCATAAGAAAAGGTTTATCACATTAAACCAAAAAGTTTTTATTTGCCAAGGGTAGTCAAAGGACTGGATTTGGGCTACAGAATGTTGTTTACATTCCCTATAATATACCATGTAATCACATGTTCTCTGGAACTACAGCTGGGTATGGAGTTGGAGACAAGGGTTTTAATATTATTTATGTGATCTGAAGTAACATAGTAAGCTTTTTTTACTACATAAAATAAAACCAACTAGGATAAGAGTATCATTTAAGGTTATTATAGTTGTGAAATTATTATTTTGAAAACTAGCGGAAGATCTTCAATGGGAAAAATCTCAATGCTTAATATAAAATGATGATATGTAATACATTGCAAGTGATATTATTTTAAAGAAAGAGAACAAGGTCTAAGGTGGTTTCAACTTGTCACTAAAAGTTACCATTACATTTTTGTTGTTGAGTCAGAATAACTTACTGATATTCATGAAATTATGCCATAAATAATAAAACATGTTTTAATGGGTGTTCTATTGTTTGAAAACAAATCAGGAAAAATGTTTCAGGTTTCTTTAGTTAACAGAAATAAAGTTTAAAACAAGATGACACTCGAACTTGTAAAATGTATCACTAAATATAGAAAAGCATAAATTCCAAAGGAAATAACAGTGCTAATTATAATGGTAATTAAAACGTTTTATCTGGTTTTAAATGTAACTAATTTTTAAATGATTATCTGGATTTTAGAGATTCTTCTTTGCATATCTAAGTAACATAGGTGCCTACTATTTTTCTGTTGCATTTTAGAGCAAAAGAAAATAATCTCAAATGTAAATTGAAATTTGAAGCAAGTCTTCATTTTCTCTGAAACTAGCTCAATCATTTTTGGTTTTCATTTTACATTCTAACACTTAACAAACCTGCTTAGATTGGCTTAAGTCAAAAACTAGAAGATGAGTTAGGGTTCATTATTTCAGTTTTTTCTCCTAGTTGATGCAGTTAGGAAAACAGTGATGAGTGAAATAATTCTTTTATTCTGTAAAATTAAATAGCACTTTATTTTGTTGACAAAGCAAGTTCAAATAGCTTTAGAGATACATGATATACATAATTTCCTGGCTGTATTTCTAGAATTTTTTAACCTTTTCTTCTATAGTCATATTTATAATTTCAGTTTTAAAAAGTGATCACATAGGGGCAATAGTTCTTGCTAAAATTTTTGTATATTTTATGTAAAATATAGTAGGAGAAATATTTATGAGTACCACAAGATCAGAAGCTGTAACTGCAATCATTTCTAAATGAAAATTATGTTCATCAGTATTTAATGCTTACATTGGTTGATGTGAGCATGAAGAATTTAGCAGCTATTTATCATAACCTTGTGTACGGTTAGTTCTCAAATACACTTTCTTAGAGTAGAATGGTATTTTAATGGCAGCATGAACCACAGCTCTATTTTAAGATATTAAATAAATTGAGATTCCAAGGAAGGATTTGCTTTTGTTATCTGGTCTCTCTCTCTCTCTCTCTCTCTCTCTCTCTCCCCTAGAGAGAGATTGTTGTTGTTGTTGTTTTCCACGTTCTTTAAAAAGTAGCCTCTCATACCTTGCATGGGTTGGTTTTTAATCCATACTTCTATAAGCCATGTCTGGGCTCTTACACCAGATGCAGGTGTCCCCTTGTGCTGTCAGCCAGGAATGATTAATGAGGATTTGCCCCCACTGAAAGCAGTCTTTGGAGCATTGTTCAGGGCATCTGTGGAACTGTCGGGGGAGACAAGGACACAAGTGAACAACCAATTATTTGGCCATCACTGAGGCAGCATGAAAAAGACATCAAATTGGACAGAGAAGCAACGCTTTTGTTTGGGGATCAAATATTATTTTTAAGTGTTAATAGTAATATAGGGCTTTTTACCTTGCTTAGAAGAATTTGGGTTAGGTCTAGACTTCTAATCAGAATTATTTTTTTTTTCATTTAAAGCTGTTTGAATTCTTTGAAAGTGCTATAAAAGGAATAAAACATCACAAAATTTATTCCTAAGTGTCTGTTGTATAAAGGTATATCCTTTTGCTGTGCTAACATTAGAAAACAAGGACTAAGTATGTATCAGGAAATAGGATCATCCATACAGAGTTCCTAATTGTTGGCCATAGTCCATAGGGACAAGAGATTTTACAAGTAATGAGAGGACCAGAGACATTGCTCTGGAATGCTGAGGCAGAAAATGAAAAACAAAATTAAAACCCAAATCTAGGAAATACTCCTAATACTATGTTCAGCATTTGTGTATTTCTTTATTTCTAGCATGACATATATACTTAAGACCTTTTGAGTAGAAGAAGATTTTTCAGAGTGGTATATTTTTGTACTAGGTCTGTGATTTAAATAAAAAATTTTAAAAGGCTGGCAGGGGTAGAATATTTTGAGCACAATTCAAACGTGGATTAAGAAATCCTTTCTTTCTGAAAGCACTTTCTGTTTTTGCCCTGTCCTACCAGGCCTGTTGTTTTTAGGGTATTAAAAATTAAAAGCTAAATCCTGAAAACACTATTAACTTCAAGGGGCAGACAGTGTTTTAATATATACAAAGTAATGGTCAGTAACAATTTTAACAAATGTATCTTATATAACAACAGCAAAAACTATCTCCTGAACTTTTTTTTTTTACTCTTGTAGTTGTTTTTCCTGACTGAAAAGAAAGTCACAGAGTAATTAGAAATCACATCAAGATTAAACAAAGTCAAAGAGTACACATAAAACAAATGTCTGAAAGAGACTGGTTTTACAAGTGATTCTGAGAGAATGCATTTTTGCTTCATTGTTCTTAAATAATTTTCTCTTGTACTTGTAGTAGTTTAGCTGCTTGCTGATTTATATTCACTTGGTCAAGTCTAGAATTACATAATTTTCTGCATTTCTCAAGCCAGTGTGAATTTTTCTTACCTTATTGTTCAACTATATGACTACAAATACATGCTTTTGGTCATATTCAAAAATTGGCCCATTTAGATAGATGCATTTCTGTATGAATGCAAGCAAATAGCTATGCCCAAATCATGTGAACCATTTAAGGTTATTATGACTAGCGGCTTTGACATGAAGTAGGCTGAATAGATAAATCCAACCTAAGTGGACACTAATATTGGCTCTTTTCAACGTCGTGAAAACAGCAGTTTCAAACTGTTTCCCACTTACTATTCACATTAAAATTGTCTCAGTAAGATAGAGTAAATCAATTATTTTTTATTAGTAACCCTATGTTTAAATGTGTTAGCAGATTCCCTGACTTTTAATGGCTCAGAAACATTGAATTTGACCTAAGTCTTTGGGCAAATTATATAATTTATACAAATGGAATATTGTGTAATTTTCCTCATGCAAATTTTGGTCAGGGTTTTGAATCTTTTAAAATCATATTGTTAGCAAGAATGGAGCTTTTTTTGGAATGCAGACAGTCTTGGAGATTTAATTCCATGTCTTTCCAATTTTTTTTACTCATCTTCTCGATGCTATCATGTTGCTTATTATTAGTCATTACTATAATTTTCAATGACATTAAGCCAAGGCAGATTCTCAGGGAAGACTGATCCTTTTGCTTATATAGTAAATGATCTCAGAACATGGTGCTCTCAATATTTGGTCATTAACAATTTCATGTTTTCCTAGAATGTTTACAGTAAGTAATAAGCAAAGCAGGTCCTAAAGTTGTGTCATATTTTTTATTTTTTATTCCAGTATCAAATCTGAGATTAATTTGATGTGCTATATTTATATGTCATGTGATACTCATTGACTGTAGTAACTTTCAATATTCTAAGGGTTTGCTGATGTCTATCTGCTCACCTCCTTTTCTTGAGTATTGGTGTTAAGCTATACTGAATCAAGTTTCTCTGGGTTATTTTCTTCATTTATAAAAAAATGGCAACAATAATTACTGAGATATATATTTGGTGACAAGAATCTTGGCTTGGAAGATCAAGAAATCTCTGTTTTAAGGAATTCCAATTAAATTTCTAATTTTAACTCCTAGAAGTCATGTGAAAATGTGACTTTGCAGTATGTTCAGGCTAGGAGAATCATCAAGGAAATTGCTGTATCATTATTTCTCTTCACAGATGGAAGGCATTTAGGGCTGTGAGACAAAATATACCATGCCCAGTTACACTTCAATTTTGCATAAACAATGAATCCATTTTAGCATAAGTATGTCCCAAAGATTGCATGGGGTATGCTTACGCTAAAATGGATGGATTGTTTATTCAAAATTACAATTTAACTTCATATACTGCATTTTTTGGATAAATTTTGAAATGCTAAGTAGAAGCAAAACTTTTAGAAGTCAGAGAACATACCCTGGATAATAATCTAGAGGTCTGGTCATCTAGGCTTTGTGCCAGAATTTTATGTAACAGTGAGCCAAATGTTTTTCATTTCTTCATTGGTAGTAGGCTTCCAAATGCTGTACTGAAATATTATAAAGATAATTTGAACTTAAGAAAATTTACCTTAAACATTCAGAAATTTTTGACAACAAGTCACATACAAGTAAAAGCTGATAGAGTGATACTCCAACGGCCTATTAAAGGTCTTTTGAAACTGGCAAATTCAACCTCCTTAAGTGGAGGGAGACACTGACATGCCATACTATGAGAGAATTAATGGAATAATTTCCATCATTTACAGTGGATTGGATAAGTAAGGAAATAATTTTGCTCTTGACAGAAAATTGAACTTCCTTTTGGACAGCAAAAGTTGAAAGTATGGTTTGACATTCAGAAAGATTGTAGACTGACAAGGGATAGGGATGTAAATGAAAACTAGCTAGTTCAAGTGTTGTGTGTAAAACTCATATTACTTAAGAAACGTGATTTCAAGCTTAACAACTACCATTGTTAGAGGCTAAGTGAGCAGCTTTGCCTTAATTACCTTTTTTCTCAAAGCTTTTCATTGCTTAAAAACTGATGATATAGATATTATTGGAGTTTCTAAAGTGTACTATCTTTTAAATGAAAAAGTAAAATTCAACCACAAATTATTTTCTCAGTTTTCATAGTAAATATAATTTATTTATACTTTTGCTTGGTTATCATACTGAATATTACTTAAGCTGTAATATTGAAAGCAACAGTGTGATTGTTGAAAGTGGGCTTATAGCCGAAGTAGAGGGGAAATATTTTATTTTTAAGGTGCAAACATAAATGATGATTGACCTGTGTTTTTAGTGTAGTTTAATAAATGAAATTAGGTTGTTCTTCCTTGAGTTAATACATAAAACTTACATGGAACAAACAACAAATTATTATTTTATATTTTATAGGCAACCTACTTTATAGCCTTCTTTAATGCCACCCAAGAAACAGAAATATTGAAATGATATTTTTGGACCCCAAGTTTTAGTTTGGTTTTATTGTTGCATGCAACAGACACAAAAGAACTTTTAAACCAATTGAATGTATTTTCTCTTTCTTTCTCTCTAGCTAGAAGAATTAGAAAAAATTACCTTCTGAGTAGGATCAGCCACCTACCCATACAAGATGAGGAGTATTTTTTGAAAAGAGGTGTGTCCCTGATCAATACAGGGCAGCTTCAGGGAGAAAGGGTATGTAAGAAAAATATGGGCTTGCTTTGGCTACTGCTGTATCATATTAACAAGATGCTATTGTGCAGGACACAAAAGGTCCACCATATTCAGCAGGCCTGCTCCAGCAGACCTTTTTGCTTTCTAGGTTTCTTGTGACCTAAAATCCCCCTTGCCACCTGTATAAGCAAATCATTCTACTGTGCCTCATGTTTTCAGAGCACTTGCTATTCAATGTGAGAGCCTAAATTTATTAATCTGGAAAAACATTGTAGTTAGATATTCAAGAGAGGCTCAAAGACATTTAATATTAGCCCAAGGAAGTAAGTAACTATATTGTTAAGACATTTAAAACAGAAATACCTGTAAGTGGCTCTTACTATTGATATTATGCAGGATAAAGTTAATTGTTGGAAGTCTCATCTGAGGCATCCAGAATTGTCAGATCAGCCTTCCATACTGAGTAAAGATAAACTTGATACCTCACTATTGATGTGTAAACTCCTTAAGCTAATAAGGAAACATATAAAGAAATAAGGGTCAGGGATTTAGCTCAGTGGTTCCACCACCTGCCTTGCATGTGCAAGGTCCTAAGTTCAATCTCCAGTACAATATATATATATATATATATATATATATATATATATTTTCATAGTCTGGAAGTTGATATTTGTCTTAGAAAATAAACAGTACTTTAAAATATATTTATTTCTTACATGTAAAGTATACCATATACTTTATCTCCCTTAATGTTCAAAATAATTTTGTGAGGCAAAGTGGGCTTTGTAAACTGCAAAGAATTTTTAAAAATTTGTTTTGGTCTATAAAATAGTTTTTCACCAAACATAGAAGGGAGAAGAAAATAAATTCTAATAGAAATTTAAATTTTAATAATTTGTTTATTTCACCAAAAATTATTTTCCTAAAATCTGAATAAATTTCTGAAATAAAAGTACAATTTTTATTTGTGTGTCCCAAAGAAACATAAATTTAAAACAAAAAAATACTCAACATATGAGAATATTTTACTTCAAAGTAATTACATTGGCCCTGTCTCGTCTAGTTATGAATTGGAGCTAATGTGGGATGTTATCACAGAACTAATACTCTAAATTAAATTAAAATTATACTCTGTCATTTTCTAGATGGGAGGTATTACTTGCTTGATGGTCTTTATTTTGATAAAAGAAAAACTAGGTTTTCTTCTTCTGTTTTTAAACAAGGATAAGCACCTTACAACAGGTTTGACATTATCAAAAGAGGTAATTATAGCTAACATTATAGTTTTCATTGTAAACTCTTTTTGAAAAGATTTTTTAGTGATAGTTCAATTGTGCTGCAATATAACAGACATTATCAACTTGGGAGTTATTAATATAAATTTAAAAATAAGATTGCACTAGAGGAATTTAGCAGGTTTTGGATGGCTTAAGGACAATTCCATAGTGCAGTAACTTGCAATTTTCTTTAAAATAATTTGTTATAAGTTGTTTCTTCTATTTCTTTCTTTATTTTTTAAAATGAAAAGAGTAGTGAAGTAATCAATGAGTGCTCCTGAGTACCTTCAGAAAATGTATCTTTAATCTGTATTATTATGAAATCTCAAAACAAAATTTTTCTAACATGATAATTGCAAACCATATTGTATTTTTTAGTGCAAAGTGGCTAAGTACAGAAAGTGATTATAAAACATTGCCTAGGTTGTTCCACATTCCAGGACAGTGAATGTTATGAAAAGTGTTCAGAATATTCTCTCAGCTTTTATATTTCATTATAAACTGTAAGAAAACATTTCTCCAAATGTTAGTGGTTGAGATTCCAGAGTGCAAGATGACAACCATACAATTCTGAAAATATTTGAAAGTTGTATTCTGACTACTAACATCCATATTCTTTACCATAGATTCTTTAACCTAGAAGCATATACTTTTTAATAAAAGTAAAACTTACATAGACAAAATAAGTAATAAGGCCCTACTAGTTTTAGAGGGTTTGCCTTAGATTTTTATCTTTATGTTAACATTTTTCAAAAGAATGTGAGCTTTCCTAAAATTTTGGTTAAACAACATTGTCACTGACCTTGGAGAATCTAAGCGCTAAACTCTGAGACAAGTCACACTGTCTCAGAGAAAGACCCATTCAGAAAGGTGACTGCTAAGAGAAAGGCCTGGCATTTTCTTCCTCTTCACTGCTTCTTAACTTCATATCCTCCAGGAGGAGTTCTGAGACCATCGATAGCAATCATAGTTCATGGGTCCAAGCCTTCCCATTGCATGGAATTCTCATTATTTCAAGGGCTTTTTAATCAGTAAACAGTGGAAGACAATTACTGTATAGATCAGTTTAATTAGTTTATTTGATGCCTAGAGCATGTAAATTTGCAAGTAGGTTTTTTCTGTTAGTTATTGAATCATAAATTAATGGCAGTGTTCTGGGCTGAACAAACTGATGCTCAGTGTTTGCTGACCTTGCTCGTATAATTCTAATGGGTTAAGAACATTGGAAAATAGACCACTTGCATCTTGATGTCTTTCATCCATCATCAAACATAATTTATTTTTTACCATTTTTATTAACACATTTCTAGTTTTCCATTAAATGACCTAACCAAGGATATTGAAGTATTGAGCTACCTAAAAGTTCATATATTTAATATACTGAATAAAATGCATTTATTTGCTATACCATTATTATCTCCCATAGAAGTCTATATCAAATTACATATATTTATTCAATTATATATGCACAAAATAATTTCTGAAGATCTGAGGCCCATGAATTATAAAAATTTTTTCTATATTTTATAGTAGTTATAATTAGTGGTTTTAAATTTTGTTTCTAACTTATTGATCCAGGGTAACACCTCACTTTTCTAGTCAATGCCATTTTGCTACCCCAAACGTAGAGCAAAGAAAACTCACATTTTCTCCTTCTGAGAAAATGCAAATTAATTTTAAATAAAACAAACAAAAAGGAAACAGAAGGAAACAAAGAAAGGGAATCTTAAAAGCTTTTGACTGGTTGCTTGAGTATTGTTCAACGAGTAGACCTAGTTGCTATTCCCACCATGATTTTTAGAAATTGTGACAAGAGCCATCCACTTTCCTTTGTGTGTGACCAGTGGCATATTTGTGAGATGACCAGCAGGGGCTGGGGCTGTGTATAGGAGCAGTTTTCTTTTTGTGAAGTTAATGGGCACATATGGGGAATGAACAAGCTTTACCATTCTTTTGGGCTCCTCCCTCTTCCCTGGTCATGGATTTGAAAAATTGCCAGTGAGACTAGAGTCAGTGATCTTCTTTTTAGCATGCCTTTCATTTATGTAGTTCATTGCCAATACTAGAAAACACTAGGCACGTTTTTTGATATTAGACAATGAAGCCTATGCTGATAATTCTAATATTTTTCTCCTTACCCCACACCATCTCTAACTTCTTCCTATTATGTTTGGTGTGCTTACTGACCTGATTGATGTTGGACAATATGAGAATAATTTGAAACATACTTTGTTGTTTATAATAGAAAATAAAATAGTTAATCCATTTTTTCAAAGGTTGCAAGTTTTTGAATTTCTGCATGAAATTTATATATGTTACCTAGAAAAATTCAAGGAAAAAGAATTTGAAGAAAAAAGTTTTATTGTGTTCCACTGTTATGTGCCATTCCAAAAGTGCAACACTAGGCATAAAATGATTAATCCTAAAGCTTCCAAAATTGAGAGGAAAGCCATACTGATTTGGAATCATTCCTAAAAAAGCTGTTTCTACTGTATCTGCATCCTTTCTGATTCCTAGTTTCAAGGGAAAATGAAATGCTTTTATCTATTGTAATAATCTTGATAATTTTGAAAAAATAATAATGTGAAAGTATTGACAAGCAATTTAGCTCATTATGTTAACTAGGGCTTTCAAGTTGAACTCTTTGGTCCAAATTTGAACAAAACTGATTTTTTAGAATTGTTTTTTAAATGATGATGTCTATGTACAATATAATGTCTGTCCTGGATTAACTTTCACTCAATTGATGCCAGTATTTGCAAAAGTGCTATTTAGATGTTATTCTAATTAGGAATAAAGTATAGGATATGTTGTATTAATATTTAAGGTGATCGAAGTTAGATGAAGTTACCTCATATTTGGAGCAAACTATCTACCTAAATTCATTTTGAAACAGGAGAACTATGTTCTTATATGCTAATAGGTTTGCAAATGATCTACATTGCCAATGTCAGAAGGCCTGCTACCTTCCTCCATCATCTTTTTAAAATTTGAAATTATTTATCTATGAATCTTTGAACCAATAATTAGAAGTAACTAATGTAGCAAACATTTATGGAATGCTTATCATGTATCAACCCAAAACTTTATATGTATTACCTCATTTTTCCCATAGAAACGTTCTCAGTTAGATACTTTTTCCAAGCTACAAAGTGGAGAATTAATCTTAGAGTGAGTAATGTCAAGGCTATATAGTTAGTAAATAGAAGACCTAGTCTCCCTGACCCTAAAACCCCTCTGTCCATCTGCTCTATGTCATGACTTTACTTCTTTGTTTCTTAAGATTTTTAAAAATCTAGTTTTAGTTTTTTTATTATAATAATTTATGGACTTTTTAAGGATCGTAGAAGTATACTCAATAGGAAATTTGGTTTGTATATTTATTTAAATGTAAAAACAAGAGATTTTAAAAAAATTTTCACACATCTAATAATCTATAACTACATAATTGTCAAAAATTAGAGAATTTTAACCAAGTAAGATTTTCTCTGAGAGAAAATTTGAGATATTAGGGGAATTTGAAATGGGGCACAGATAAAGGGGGAAGAAAACCAGATTGGCAAACAATGACAGGACTAAAAAAAGGTAGCAGTACTATATGAAATCAAGGAATTAAACTTTCTAGTTGAACATATCTGTAAAAATTTAATGAAATACATTTTATTTTCTCATTCTACTCATGATAACAAAAAATAAAATCCTGAGTCCTTTAACAGACATTCAGTATGCAGTGTCTCCTGACGTACAGAGTTAATAGCTTGTGCTGAGAAACTGGCTGCCATGA